TACCCCAGAAAACCTTGCAGGGGATCTGCCCCCCCCTTTCGACGTCCCAACCGAGTTCCCGGCTCGTCAGCATCCGGAGGGACCTGGTACTCCCTGTCAAGCGGTTTAGGGTTTAGGGTTTAGGATTTAGGGTTCAGGGTTTAGGCCCAAGGCACCTATACTTGTTATGATTCTATTGGAATTTCCAGTTGACATAACTGTATGTTAAACCTACGTTTATAGCCCGTACTTATCTCTGCCCATGAACCTTCAAGCGGGCACGTCGCTACATTAGGGTCCTCAGGGGGTTTGTTCCTATTGTAAAACGGAGCCAACGAACCACGCACCAACGCAGGCCCACGGAGGCTTCCTGCCATTTCTTGGCGTCTAAGATGCTATCCCTGCCCCCAAAATGGTTACAGTAAAGCCTGGGCCTAATTCGTCCCTCTGCACCGAAGGAACAAACCCTAAACCCTAAACCCTAAACCCTGCACCCTGAACCCAAAACCCTAAACCCTACGGTTTTAGAGTTCAGAACAAAAAGAGGCCTTTTCACCCGTTGCAGTTCACAAAGGCGTCACCCTCCAGGCGTGATCCTACGTCCCAAATCGAGCGGCCTCCGCAGTTTGTGAACACCCTCTAAACCCAAAAAACACCCTAAACCCTAAAACTTGGGATGTTGCCTTAATAGGGATTCCAATAGGGAGTACTATAATTCCTATTGAGGACTGCTAGTACAAGGGGAAACATCCCGACCCCTAAAGCCTAAACCCCGCAAAAAAAACCCTCAAAATCGGTTGGGCCAGGATCTAATGTAGAGTCCGGGAGTTGCCCCGCCGGCATCACTTTGCACTCTTAGTGGTTTAGGGGGGGTTTAGGGGCTTGGGGGTTTAGGGTTTAGGGTTTAGGGATTAGGGTTTTGGGGGGGCAGCAGTAATACTCTTTATGGCGGGTATTCGGTCAACAGAATCATCGCTTGTTTGGGAGGGAAGGGCGCACGGAATCAACTAATCTGCGGGGGATGCGCGGGGAGATCGGTCAATTTGCAATGGCCATCTTGTAGGGTAAAGAACGGTTTTGAGAGTGAGTAAATTAGTCAGATAGCATTTGGCGGGAAGGCCAAGAAACCATATTGAGGGCAAGAGTCAGGTTTAGGGTTTAGGGCTTGGGGCGGAGGGTTTAGTGTCTAGACTCCTTGGCCAAGTTTGGCTACTTCTTCACCAGTCACCAGTCATTGCTCAGCTGTTAGGGTTTAGGGTCGGGGTTAGGGTTTAGAGTTTACCTAAACCTGCGAACCCTTAATGCCGTAAGTCCGTAATAGCCCTTGACCCTACACCCTTTTGATCCGTAAATCCAGAACAGCCCTAAAATCCACAATAACCCTACACCCTACACCCTTTGAACCTTAAATCCATGTAATGAGCCCATTTTGAAAACCTAAACCCTTTAATAAGAACCTAAACCCTTTTTTAACACGGACCTCTGAAGCCTGTCCGAACCTAAACCCTAAACCCTGAAACCTGAACCCTCAACCCTAAACCCTGACCCCTCCCTTTGATCCCTGTCCCAGCCCTCGACTCAGGTGCATGGACGCAAAAAAAATCCAGATTCCAGCTGCCGCCAACCCCTACACCTTCAAGTCACCCTAAACCCTAAACCCTAAACCTTAAACGCTAAACCCTAAACCCTACACCCTAAAAGCTCCGCATTCGCAGGACAACATGCGAAGTCGCAGCCGCAGCTGGTGGCTTTTTGGGGTGTGGTTTAGGGGTTTAGGGTGTTTTGGGGTTTGGGGGTTTAGGGGGTTTAGGGGTTTGGGGGTTTAGGGGCTTAGGGGGTTTAGGGGTTTGGGGGTTTAGGGGTTCAGGGGTTTGGGGTTTTAGGGGTTTAGGGGTTTGGGGGTTTAGGGGTTTAGGGGTTTAGAATTTGGGGTCTGGGCTTCGGGTTTAGGGTTGGGGCTTGGGGTTTTGGGTTGTAGGGTTCAGCGCGCGCTCTGCAGAAGCCACGCGGAAGCAAAGATGTCGCGAAGGAATCCAGAAAAGCAACTCGATTGTTCGCAACGAAGGACTGGGGCGTAGGCACCCTATCTCCCCATACTTGAAGGTTCATCACAACTAGGGCTAGAAGTAAGGCAGCGTATACTATAACCTTAATTAAGGTACTTGCCCCACTTCTAAATACCCATGAACCTTCAAGTAGAACCCTTCAGGGGTTCTATACACAACCTATGTCCCTAAACCCTAAACCCTAAAACCCGAAAGACTATTCTATACCAGCAAGCCAACCAGTATGAAAGCAACAGTAGGGTCATGGATCCAGGGACCTAAACCCGAAAGCCTAAACCTTCTAGGTGGCCAGTGACCTACGATGAAAAAGGGCGCACTTTCTTCTGCTTAAAGGGGTTTTCTAAGGGGAACCTGCCCTAAACCCTCAACTCCAAAAAGGTATGAGCCCTCCCCAAGAGGGAATGAGCGTAGTAAGTACTGGGCGTCCTAGCCTAGCCTTTGACGCCCGCCGATAAATTCGACTCAGGACAGGCTGAGGTTTAGGGTGTTAGGGTTTGGGCTTGGCGCTTTGGGGCTTAGGGGTGTGGCCTTGAAACCCCATGAAGCCCAAAGCCTACAACGCCCATGAAGACCGACAGGTACGATTAGGGTTAGGATTCACTTGGGGTTAAGGGCTAACGGCTTAGCTCATCTTGGTAGCCCAGTAACCCTGTTTTTATAAGGGTACCCTTTTTAGGGTTGGTTGCTTGATACAGGAACCCAGACCCCAAAAAAGGGCAAAAGGGCACCACTGGGCAAACAGGTCATGGGATTCAGGATCCCTAAACCGAAAACCCTAAACCCTAAACCCTAAGCTCTAAGCCCTAAGCCCTAAGCCCTAAACCCTAACCCTAAACCCCATGGTCCCCGGGATTCACTTCGTTGCTTTCGCCCTAAGCCAGTCAGGCCTGGGGTCTGGGGTCTAGGGTTTAGGGTCTAGGGTCTATGGTTTGGGGCGAGCTGGGTTTCGCCGTACTATTTCGTAGAAGCTGAAATGTTACGGTTTTCAGCAGAGCCTCGCAGGCCTCGCGAAATGCGAAGGGCGGTCACGGCCCGATGTTGGAGGGCCGCTCTAACATTCTCTCCCACCCCACGCCGTCTAAGGCGGCAAAGCCACCCTTACTTAGTCCTTTTAGGGTTTAGAAATGTTTAGATCTAAACTCAATACCTCTTTCGCTTTTAACCTCGTGTAAGTGGGAAGTTTACATGGTCGAGCTTTGTCCGGGGCCTGGCGCGGAAAAAATAAGCTGAGCGCAGGACACGGTGGGGCAGAAGGTGTGCAGTACAGCATGAACCTTCATATGAGCCAGGAGAAGGCACGACGGAACGGTAAATGGTAAGGACAGAAACGGTTAGAAAGGTGAGGGGAGTTCAGGGCGGGGGCGGGATCAGGGCGGGGTAGGGAGGGACCAGAATAAGAGGTCAGGCCGGGGGGGGCAGGAGGGGGCAGGGCAGGGGGGCCCTGGCCTGGGGGCCTTCTCCGGCTGCAGGAGGCGAGCAAGCCAGCTGGGTCGACTTTCGGCATAGAGGTCGAAGGGCTTAAGCGCCGCCCCCCCTTCTGTAGGGGGGCGGCCTAGGCCCTGAGTTTAGGGTTTAGGGTCTGGGGTGTAGGGTTTAGGGTCTAGGGTCTATGGTTTAGGGCGAGCTGTCAGGCTGTTACTTTCGGGGTCGGAATAATTACGTATAGGGTTTTGGGTCTAGGGTTTAGGGTTTAGGGCTTGGGTTTCAACTCTCACGCCCGCACGAGGCAGGCAAGGCTTCAGAAGGTCTGGGTTTCGGGTTTCGGGCTTAGGGTGGATGGTCAGCGTCTTGTCACCCTAAACCCTAAACCCTAAACCCTAAACCCTAAACCCTAAACCCTAAACCCTAAACCCTAAACCCTAAAGCCCTAAACCCCCAAGCAAAACACACCTTCCACGCAGATGAGAAGGACTCCAAGAGACCGGGGCCATTGTGTTGTTGTCCCTCTATGCTTTTGGGTTTTAGGGTTTTAGGGTTTAGGGTTTTAGGGTTTTAGGGTTTTAGGGTTTTTTTTAGGGTTTTAGGGTTTTAGGGTTTTAGGGTTTTAGGGTTTTAGGGTTTTAGGGTTTTAGGGTTTTAGGGTTTTAGGGTTTTAGGGATTTAGGGTTTACCGACTCAGCTAGACCAGCACACGCTGCGGAAACTCATCAAACTCGGACCCTCAGAGGAACTCGGGCTCAGAGCCTGTAGGCCTAAACCCTAAACCGTTCTTAAACCCTAAACCCTAAACCCTAAACCCTAAACCACGAGGGTTCAACCTGGTCCGAGTCCCATCAAGAAAGCCTGTCCTCGGGCATCAAGTTCCTGAGGCCTCAGTTGCAGCGCAAGGGCCCTGTGGGTGGCAATACTTCAATTGTGCAGTCGTGCCGGAGACACAGTGTATGTATATACATATATAATGATGTGATTGAATGCTCTATAAACACTGCTATGCATAGTGCTGCCGATTGATTTGGGGGTATGTATATGCATACGTACATGTATACATATATATATATATATATGTATGTGTATGTGTATGAGCATATATGTGTATATGTATGTATGCATGTATGTATATGTATGTATATGTATGTATATGTATGTATATGTATGTATATGTATGTATATGTATGTATATGTATGTATATGTCTGTATATGTATGTATATGTATGTATATGTATGTATATGTATGTAAATGTATGTATATGTATGTATATGTATGTATATGTATGTACATATATCAAACTCTTCTGAGCATGTTCTCGCGAAAGTCGAGTACTTTTTTGCTGCTGGCTCGGCCGCCTCCTTTCTCAGCTAAGCGAGCAACTCTTGCCTCTTGATGTCTGTCAAGAAACAAGTCCACATAGGGTTTAGGGTTTAGGGTTTAGGGTTTAGGGTTTAGGGGTTTAGGGGTTTAGGGGTTTAGGGGTTTAGGGGTTTAGGGGTTTAGGGAGGGGAGGGGGGTGGGCGGTTCATGTCCCTTCACCAGAACTTTCCGAACCATGCTTGGCGCAGGGCACGTACTCGTCCGGCCATTTCTCCAGGCAGTTAGCCTCAGAGTTCTGGTCGCTCGTGGAGTCAGACTCGTCCTCCCTTTCTACTTCCCATTCGTTGTCTTCCTGTGTTGGTCTGCAACATAACTGAGTTGTGCTTGAAGCCCTTTGAGAGTTATCTGTGAATATGTTCCCTTGTACGGAAAGAAGGGAAACTAAAAACATATCCCAAAGCAGCACCCAGATAATGATAATACAAGCCGAGGTGGAGGTCCCAGTGACGAAAACAAGCAGAAAAGTGATTGTGTTTGAGAGAGCCCCACCTTCACGTCATCTATCTCAACGATGTAGACCAACGCAAAAGCGTTTAGGACGAAGTCGGTGAGACCCCCGCGGCAAAGCCAAAGTGGCAGAGTATAGACGAGGATGGCTTTGTATAGGCCGTTGGACAAGTATGACCTCACTTCTCCAAGAGTCAAGAAATTAAATAAGGTTATTAAACTTGTATTCTTCCTAATTACTCAAGAAGGAACCCTAAACCCTAAACCCTAAACCCTAAACCCTAAACCCTAATCCTAAACCCTAAGCCGGAACCCTAAACTGCCCTAGAAGCCCTAAGTCCAAAACCCAAAACCGAGTGACATCAGAAACCTCATCCAGAAGGCCATCTCATGCCAGGATTCGCGCCACCGCGTCTTCGTCTTAGTTTCACTGCCAGGATTTCCGGGCTCGTGCCTGCACACGAGGCGAAAGCCTTTGTGTTGGCTATAGCGTCCGGAGAAGATGGTGAATGGTTTCGGTTTTGGGTTTTGGTGTTTAGGGTTTACATGATATCGAGAGAAACAGTAAAAAAAGGTGAAGGTGGGCTCCCAAAGAAGCTGTTGGCGCTGGCATGGAGGTGGAGCTGCCAGATCTCGGAATTCTCCGGCGTCACCATGCAGCAGGCCCAGCGGATCCATCGGAGGATGATGTTCCGCTCCTCCGGCTGGTGTATATAATCCCTTAAAGGGTATATATGTATATATATCTATATGTATATATATATATAGATATATATTTATATAGATAGATATAGATATAGATATATATGGTCACCCCCCCCCCTACGACAGACCCTGGAATTGCATTTCCAGTCTGTCCAGGAAGGGGGCGGAAGACCAACGCTCCAAAATTCCTCGAGTTTCCAAAAATCCAAAAACCCAAAAAACCCAACCCAAGTTTCGGATTTTTGGAAACTCGAGCGGGAGCCTCAAAATCCAAAAATCGAGCAAAATCCTCGAGTTTCCAAAATTCCAAAAATCCAAAAACTCCAACCCAAGTTTCGGATTTTTGAAAACTCGAGCGGGAGCCTCAAAATCCAAAAATCGAGCCAATTCCTCGAGTTTCCAAAAATTCCAAAAATCCAAAAATTCCAACCCAAGTTTCGGATTTTTGGAAACTCGAGCGGGAGCGTCAAAATCCAAAAATCGAGCAAATTCCTCGAGTTTCCAAAAATCCAAAAATCCAAAAACTCCAACACAAGTTTCGGATTTTTGGAAACTCGAGCGGGAGCGTCAAAATCCAAAAATCGAGCAAATTCCTCGAGTTTCCAAAATTCCAAACCTTGGGGTGATTTTTTTGGATTTTTGGAATTTTGGAAACTCGAGGAATTTGCTCGATTTTTGGATTTGGAGGCTCCCGCTCGAGTTTCCAAAATTCCAAAAATCCAAAAATCCACCCCAAAGGTTTGGATTTTTGGAAACTCGAACGGGAGCCTCAAAATCCAAAAATCGAGCTAATTCCTCGAGTTTCCAAAATTCCAAACCTTGGGGTGTTTTTTTTGGATTTTTGGAATTTTGGAAACTCGAGGAATTAGCTCGATTTTTGGATTTTGAGGCTCCCGTTCGAGTTTCCAAAAACCCAAACCTTTGGGGTGGATTTTTGGATTTTTGGAATTTTGGAGACTGGAGTTTGGATAAGATTTTTCAGGGGTTCTTATATGATTCCTTATTATGATTTAGGCTGCCTATTCAATTTTATAATACTCCTGTTCACTTTAATGGGGGTCCTTATTTAATGAATAAGATTCCTAATCGTTTTACTTGCATTCAAAGTGATTTTCACTAGGGTTCCTGTATGAGGTTCGTATTGAATTTTAAAGGATGCCTATTAAAGGGCTTTCTTGGGTTTAAGATTGATTCCTATTCATTTTACTCAAATGCCAAGTAATTTGAATACGATTCTTAGTCATTTTAATAGCATTCTTATTCCTAGTTAGTTTTAAGAAAAGTTTTAATAAATTAGCATAAGAATTTTAATAAGCATCATAACAAACTTTAAACATATTCCTATTAATGTCAATAGGCTTCTTGTTCATTTTCATAAGATGTCGTACAATTTCTAATTGGATTCCGTTTGCTTTGACAAGCTTCCTATTCATGTAAAAAGGCTTCTGATTAATTGGAATAGGCTTCGTATTCATTTTAGCAGGGTTTCTCAATCATGTTGACAGGATTCCTAATAATGTTCATAGGATTCCTACTAGGTTCCACAGTGCTCCGATTATGCTTTTAAATCCTGTTCCCTATTCATTTCACTTGGACTCGAAGTAATGTTATTGTAACTCTTATTAATTTTATTAGCAATCCTATTTATTTACAGTTTTAATAGGAGTTCTAACAGTACGACTCTTATTGTTTCAAGTTTTAAAGCGTCCACGTTACCTTTTTTATAGAATTTTATTGGCTCCTCTTAATCTTTTAATAGGATTCATCTTCATGTTAAACGGATTCCTGTTACTCTTAAAAGAATTCATAGATTCTTTTGTAGGGTTCCTATTAATTTTAATAGCATTCCTATGAATTCAAAAGGGTTTCTATTCATTTCAATGGCCTTCCTATGATTCCTCTGAATTTAGGACTCCAAGAAAATTTAATAGGAGCCCTGTTAATTTAATAAGCTTCTACGTATTTCAACCAGGTTCTTATTGATTGTACTAGGATTCTTACTAAGTTTTCACAAAAGACTCGTCTCAATTTCAATAGGGTTCTCATTCATTTTAATGGGTTTCCTATTGATTTAAATGGGATTCCTATTGAACTCATACGAACCCTATGAATCCTATTAAATTTAATAGGAACCCAAGTAAAACTAACAGCAATCTAATTGAAATTAATAGCAATCCACGATGTCCAGCAAATTGTTCAGGTCACTTCTGTTTGAGCACTCGCTCGAGCAATTGCTGAGTGGATCAAATTATGTGAATTAAGCTTTTTGGAATCAACGAAGTTAACGAAAGTGTTTGAAATCAATTACGGTAGACAAATCTGTGAAGTTGAGTAAATATTTAATGAATTAGTAAAACCCTACCATGACCAAACTGGCAGGCCGATCTGTCGGACTTCAGGGAAGAGCATATGGAGACGTGTTTTTTTTGGGGGGGGAGGTACCATATATAGATATACACACATATATATATATGTATATATCTATTGTTTGTTAACGTGTCTGGCTGCTGTGTGCAGCTATGCTGTCCGTAGCCTTTTTTTCGCTTCCGGGGTCTGTCGTAGGGGGGGGGGGGTGAGCATATATATATATATATATATAGGGCCCTAATTTCCCTCATTCCCTACTATGACCATGTAGTCCTGTCCCGGTTGATCCTGAGAGGATCCGCGGCTTGCCTCGCGGGAGACTCTACTTTGCCGGCTTGAGCGCCTGCTCACCTCAGGGTTCCGGACATCCGGGGGTACCCTTCTTGGGGAGTCCGTCAACAAGAGGGAGTCCTACCATTTGGGGGTCTGTTTCAAACCCTAGAAACCCTAAACCCTAAACCGTAAATCCGTATTTTCGTAAACTCGCACCTGTGAGCACGCTCGGCAGATTCGGCCATGTCGGCGGTCCCAAAAGAAAGCCTGCAGCTGCTGTCGAAGGGCATTCCTTGGTAGCCCACGAACCATACACAACTAAGAGCACCGTTTTTTGGGTTGGTTACTTTATAGGGGAACCTTCTACCAAGATCTGCAGGTAGTAGCCCTAAACTCCCTAAGCCCTAAGTCCTACACACTTTTTTGAACGAGGTCTGTCTCAAGTGCCTCCAAATTCCAAACCCTAAATCCTAAACCCTAAACCCTCCAACCCTAAGCCCTCAACCACCAAGATTCTCATCGTGTCGCAATTCCTCCTGTACTGTGTTGTCATCCAAGGTGAACCGGACCTGTACCAGCAAAGACCCCAGCCATAGCCCAATCTTCTTCGGGTCCATAGCCAAGGGCTGCATTACAGTCTGTAGGTATATGATCATGAGACAAGACATCAGAAGAAAGATGCATATGCAGCCAAGGAGAGGGCTGTTAGGATCCTGGTACCTGTCCTGCGGAGATGCCTTCTTTGGTACCCTTTCTGCTTCCTTTCCACGGACCGCTTTGGCATCGAAGTACATGAAAATAGCAACAATCAAGACAGATACAAGAAGCACCATTCTGATCGTCAAAGGAAGCGGATTCCACTTAGCAACATGCGGTACCGAGAACACGGAGACCCGTCTGCGGTAAGCGATGAGGAATATCGGGGGCAGCGTCAGAAAGGACGTGTTGACGACCAGCAGCCACAAAACTCTGAACAGCATGTCCATGCATTGCAGTGTGACGGGAGTCCTTGCGGTCAATGCGCAGCATGACAGCAATAGCAGGGCCGCTACACAAATCATGGTCAGCAGGTAAAAGTGCCCACTGGCCAGCACACATGCATCTGCCAATGTATCAGAAGCTTCCTTAGACCAGAAAGGAAGGTCAAAGGCCTCCCTGTACTCACGGCGCCATTTCTTTTCAACGGTCCTTTGCAGGTACCCCGTATGAGCTGCATTGAGTTGTCCGGCTGCAAGCATTTCTGCATTCCAGCCATACGGATCCACTGTGGTCAATGGGGCCTGCATGACAGCATGAAGCCGGATGAGCTCAGGAAAATTCACAAGCCCATCGTCATGATCGAAAGGGTCTTCCGCCGCTTGCATCAAGACGGTCTTGCGGGTCGTAACACTTAGCATCGTGAAGGCCTCTGGCGCCTGCGCCAAGATCCAGATGACACCATCCATGTCGTTGCCGCCACAAAGGGGGCTGTCACGAAGAAACTCGATGCGGCTCTTGTTCCTTAGCATTAAGTAGCTCTAATAGGAAACCAGAACCAAAAAAAAAGTATTAAAAGTATAGTACTCCAAGACCCAGGTTCAGATGCACCAAATCACGCACGACATCGTGCAGGATGGTGCGCGCAAAGGCCGTCCGGATGGTCTTGCGATAGCCGTTCTCTGGCGGGACCACTTTGCAGACCAAGGCCCCACTGTCCCAAGAGAACCCCTTCTCCAGCAAGAGGCGGATGATCTTGATCCGGTCTTCCATAGAGGCACCCTCCACGTGGGCGTGCGTTGCAGTCCCTCTGAGGGAGCGCATCAACGCCCTCTCGTTTGCATGGCGCGTCATGTAGAGTCCCAGCTCCAGAACAGTCAAGTTATCTATGCGACTGGCATGTCTGCTGTTGGTGTCATATGCAGACTCGTCCACCTTTACGTGCTCCTTTGCAAGGTAGTCCAGGTCGCTGCAGTTCATCTGCTTGTATTGGGCGGACGTCTCAGGAACATCTATGTTGTGCACGTACCTGCCCTTCGCACTCCAGCTATCAAGCAGAGTCTCCAGATCTGAGTAGTTGCCGTCGACGACCAGACGCCTCAAGCGTGCCAAGTGAACCTTCAGCGCCGGAATGTCCCGGTGATGCTCACAGCCAGCTGCCACTCCCACACTCGCATCCTGCAATGTGTGCTCAAAGTGGGCTGATGGCGCATATACCTTAACACATGCCTTAGTGTGGCCTATGGTCTGTAGACCATCAACCCTTCAAATGGGTCATTTCAGGCCCAAGAAAAGAACTGAATGGGTTTATCCCAACTTGTTCATTGTGGGTGCGTTGCAGGTCGCATAGTCTCGGTACCCCCAAACCCCAAACCCCAAACCCTAAACCCTAAACCCTAACTCCCCCCCCCCCCCCCACAAAGCAAAACGAAAATAACCCTCAAGGACTAGCATCAAGGGACCTCTACGTTGTCGCCCCTCAGGTTGGACCCTCGGGTGTATAAGGTTTAGGGTTTCAGTTTGGGGTTTAGGGTTTAGGGTTTAGGGTCTAGGGTTTAGGGTTTAATTCCAAGTATCAGGGAGCCCCCTTGAGGGGTTCCCACAACCTTGCGGGAGTATTGGATCCCTTGAGCGCAACAAATGAGCTCCCATCTGCTGGGCTCTGGTTTAGGGTTTAGGGTTTAGGGTTTAAGGTTTAGGGTGAACTGAATTGAATTACCAGGTCTACGTGTGGTATGCTCCCTATTATCGTAACTTACTTGAAGTTAACACAAGGGTGCATTGCGTACTATGTCATATGCTGTTCTGAGATCTTCGTTTATGTTCCTTACAAGAGCCTCGTCTCAACCCGTCCTGGCTGAGCAACGCTCGCTGTGTGAGATGTCCGTGTTGGACGATTGCCAGCTTGTGAATGACGTCTTCCTGCGCTGGTGTCGCAAGTTCCAGCGGCTTTTGACATTCGAATGTGCGCAGAGGACTGAAACAAATGATTCTCAGCTCAATTCGCGCATGGTTTCTCAAGTTGAGGCAAATTCAGCAGCTTGTTCGCACCTTCCACTTTACAAGTCTAAGTCTGCCTAACTGTTAACTTTGGAAGCAGGGATCTTTTGCAGTCCGGCGGAAAGCACGCCAAGCAACTTGTGTGGACAACACTGCCAATTCAATAGCAAAGGTGACCTGTATTTAAGTGCAGGGGTTTAGGGTTTAGGGTTTAGGGTTTTGGGTTTTGGGTTTAGGGTTTACGGTTTAGGGAAACAAATCCGCGCAATTGTGAGATACCCGAGGCGAGACGGACGACCCTGCTATTTTTGACTCATCCACAGAGAACCTGCGAAAGTGAATCCAGCAACTGAAGCGATCCGAAATGCTATGGGGTTTCTCTGAAAACCCTAAACCCTGAACCCCAAAACGCCCCATCCATAGCGTTGGGGGTTTAGGGGCGTTCTTTTTGTCTTCCTGTACACAAGCAGAGCCTGTCACATGCAATAGTAGGGTTTAGGGTTTAGGGCCTAGGTTTAGGATTTAGGGTTTGGGGTCAGTTCTTGTTAATTGTGGAACGGTGCCTTGTTTTCGTTTCTGCCAAACAATTCCAGCAACTGCATGTGTCTGCCAAACTGCAGGTCAAAGAAACGCCTTAGACCCCGACGCATTGCCTGAACCCTAAACTCTAACCCTACACCCCAAACCCTAGGCCGTAAGCCCCAGCCCTAAACTCTATATAACCCTAAACCCTAAACCCTAAACCCTAAACCCTAAACCCTAAACCCTAACCCTAAACCCTAAACCCTAAACCCCGAGACATGACACCCCGGCAGCTGGATCTGCGTCACATGTGCAGCCAGGTCCCGTTTAGGGTTTAGGGTTTAGGGTTTAGGGCGCCTCACCTCCTCGACCGCAAGATACAAGAACGTCGCCAGGATGAAGCAGCCAGCAAGCAGGCAGAAAACATCGCAAATCGGAAGAGGCCGCATACGCACGATGCAACAAACAGTGTGACTGATAACCCTAAACCCTAAATCCTAAACCCCAAACCCTAAGCCCTAAACCCTAAACCCTAAACCCTACACCCTAAACCCTAAAGCCTAAACCCTAAACCCTAAACCCTAAACCCTAAACCCTAAACCCTAAACCCCGGCTAGCCCTAAACCCTAAACCCGCTTCTGGGCCGAAACGCCGCAGCATTTCGTGCTTCTGTTCGGCCCGATGCTCCTGGACTCGGCAAGCTAGGAGCCCGCAGGCCCGTCTCATGTGCCATCTTTCTTGGGTTAGGGTTTAGGGTTTAGGGTTTAGGGTTTAGGGTTTAGGGTTTAGGGTTTAGGGTTTAGGGTTTAGGGTTTAGGGTTTAGGCTTCAGGGTTGCTCCCGCCTTATGCTAACAGTCCTGAATAGGGATCATACTAGGGGCCTACACCCGAAACCCTGAACCCTAAACCCTCCAGGAGCTGCCCTTGTGAAATTTCGAGGACAAGCCTACTTCTGCCGAGAATGCAGTTTAGGGTTTAGGGTTTCGGGTTTAGGGTTAAGTGTTTAGTGTTTAGGGTTTACGGTTTAGAAGTTATGAGGGTTCATAAGGGTTCAGGATTTGGGGTTTGGGATTCATTGGTTTGTTGTTCTTCCTGCAAGATACGGAAGCCAACAAATTGAAAGCTTAACTATCGGCTGAGTTATGGACCGCATTTTGGAACTCCCTGTATGAATGCTATGCCCTGAACCGTAAACCTTACTAAACTCTAAACCTTAAACACCATTTTTTGAAAACCCTTAAACACTAGACCTTAATCCCTAGACCTTGAACCCTTTTTTTATACCCTTAAAACATAAACCCTTAATTGCTTTCGTATTGCAGCTTACTGGTCGTGTCTCAGTTGTTTATTATTCTTCTTATTTTTTCTTCTTTTTCATCTTCTTATTCTTCTTCTTCTTGTTCTTCTTCTTGTCCAGGGCATGAGGAGAGGCGAACTCCCCTCCCCGCACGCATGCACACCTGTCTCTCTCTGGTAGTTGCGAGTGGTTTAGGGTTTAGGGTTTAGGGTTTAGGGTTTAGGGTTTAGGGTTTAGGGCTACTACTGTCTGTGAACACTGGGAGGCTAGCTCTGGCGCAGCTTCAGGCACGTAGTTTCCCTCATAATCCCTCGCATACCCCCAGTATAACCGTTCGACAGCTCCATATGCCCCTTTCGTGAAGCGTTGCGCAAGGTGTTCTGCCTGGAAACTCTTCAAACAACCCCTGGCCAACAGGTCCTGCAACTTCCCTATGCAAACCTCTACACCCTTTAACTTCAGTGGGCGTGCAAACCTGCACCGCGAAACCCTAAACCCCAAACCCGAAGCCCTAAACCCCAAACCTGAAACCCGAAACTCGAAACTCTAAACCCTAAACCCTAAACCCTAAACCCTAAACCCTAGACCCTAGACCCTAAACCCTAAACCCTAAACCCTAAACCCTAAACCCTAAACCCTAAACCCTAAACCCTATCCGGCCCCAGGCGCCAGAGAAGCAGCGCTTCCGGGGGCTGCCTACGGAGAACTCAGCTGGGGCATCTTTGAGAGTTTAGGGTTTAGGGTTAGGGGTTTAGGGTTCAGGGTTTAGGGTTAGGCGTTTCGGGTTGGGGGTTTAGGGTTTAGGGTTAGTGGTTTAGGGTTGGGGGTTTAGGGGGGGTGTTGGCGTGTTTGGGGGGGGGGGGGGGGTTTGGAGCTTTTGCCGGGTTTTGTTCTTTGCTCTTTATTCCCTTTGGGGTCTTTTGGGCCTCTTCGCTTTGGGGGGCTTTGGGGCCTTGAAGATCTGTCTCTTGAAGGGTTAGTGTCTCCTATCGAAGTCGCAAAGAAATTGAAGGGTTCTCGCAGCCCATCGAAACTGCAAGTTCCGAGTGGCTCACACACAAGTTCGCTTTATCATGACCTTCAGGGTTTAGGGTTTCGGGGTTTGGGGATTTGGAACTTTTTGGCTCAGGCTTGGGGGCTGCGGGGCTTAGGAACCGACGATTTAGGGTTCAGGATTTAGGGATACTCTACTGTGAGGCCTCCAGAAAGAAGTCCTAGACTCCTAGACAATCAGATTCTCTAGTGTCCTGGCCCGTCTTCAGGGTCCTCATTATTAGGGCCGCCGTATTGGCGGGTGGGGTTGAGTGCAGACAGCCCCTAAACCCTAAACCCTAAGCCCTAAACCCTAAACCCTAAACCCTAAACCCTAAACCTTTCTTATCATGAGGTGGATGTCTTGTGGTTTCGCTGTGCTCTTTCCATGTCTCGCTCCTTCTATGGCGTGGCTTCGCCACGCCTCAGAGGGAGGTCTTGGCATGGGGGTTTACGACAACATAAGGGCTCCCTATTATACCCTGAACCCTAAACTTTCCCTAAACCCTAAACCCTAAACCCTAAACCCTAAGCCCTAAACCCTAAACCCTAAACCCTAAACCCCACAAAGTAGGGATTCCCTTATCGTAAGGACCCCATTCAGGTACCCCTCATATCGTAAACCCCCACGGGGGCACCTGGGGCCCAAGCTCCTTGACGCTTCATGGCACAGATCGGGGTTTAGGGTTTAGGGTTTAGGGTTTAGGGTTTAGTCTTTAGGGTTTAGGGCTACACGCCTCCGGGGCCTTGAGGGTTTGGGGCTTTGGGATGTTCTTTCATTATACTGAGAGTCCTGAATAGGGGGTATAGTAGGGGGCACTATTCGGGACTCGTACCCTAAACACTAAACCCTAAACCCCAAACCCTAGACTGGCCACCCAAACGCACCTTGTCGCGTGCCACCCAGGGAGGGCCACCCTATTTCTCCCTACGCACAGAGAATCCTAAACCCTAAACCCTAAACCCTAAACCCTGAACCCTGAACCCTGAACCCAGCACCCCTGAACCCTAACCCGAAAAGACAGGGCTTGGGGAGTTTTAGGGCTTTCAAAGCAGAGATGCCTCTCAGGGCAAGGAGCTGAGCAGCCTAAGTCCTATACCCTAAGGCTCAAAGGTCGCACACTTGGGAACTCTTTTTGGGGTTTAGGTTTAGGGTTTAGGGCTTAGGGCTTAGGGCTTAGGGTTTAGGGTTTAGGGTTTAGGGTTTAGGGTTTAGGGTTTAGGGTTTAGGGTTTAGGGTTTAGGGTTTAGGGTTCTCAAAAACTGGGACTACAGGTGAGCCTTGGGGTTGATCTCTCAGGGAGAAGGAAAACCCAACTCCACGGTCGACTACCTGGTGAACGCTGGCGTGCGAGGGGCGAGAGGACTTTGGCCGGAAGGGTCTAGGCAAGTTTGGGTTTAGGGTTTAGGGCTTAGGGTTTAGGGTTTAGGGTTTCGGGTTTAAGGTTTAGGGTTTAGGGTTTAGGGTTTAGGGGTTAGCGGTGAGGGTTGAGGGTTTAGGGTGCGGGCTTCGGGTTGAGACATTTGGGATGGTGCCAGCCTCCACGATCGCTTCTCAAAGGGGCCACGACGTGAAATTGACCCACAGACAACAGCTAGCTAGCCAAGACCCACTTAATCCTAAACCCTAAACCCTAAACCCTAAACCCTAAACCCTAAACCCAGTAAGTTCTCGGCTCGGCTTAGTGGGCATTTCCGTGATGATTCTTGTAGGTCCTGTGAAGAAAAAAAAAGGAGAACGAGGAGAACACGAAACCCTAAACAGTAGAAGCCCTGGAGCCTGGAGCCCCACCGCTCCCCGTAATCCTGGCCCTAAATCCTTAACTCTAAAACCCTAAACCCCAAACCCCCTAAACCCTGCACCCTAAAGGGATATGGCTCTAGGGCTACGCAACCTGAGCCTTCACCGCCTTAACCTGGCGCTAGATGCCCCGTTTGAGGGCTTAGGATTTAGGGTTTAGGGCTCGCCCAAAGCCGTAAAGCCCACGACAAAGCCCAGAGCCTTAAGCCCTAAAGCTTAACCTTTGCAAACCACAACACACCAGCATCTACCTTGAGTTTCGACACACGGGAACTGAGGCTGAACCATACTTGCTCCATGAACCCT